AGTAAATTGCAAAAATGGTCCCTGTGGTATGCAAAATTTTAGGGTTTTAGTCCAAACCACGAGTTTTTTGGAACCATAGTCCTTTTGGAGTGGTTTCTATGTGGTTTTGGTCCCTGGACTTAACTCCCGTTAAGTTGGAACTGTTAAGCCCCCTCACGTGCCTCACACGTGAGGGTAATTTCGTCATTTCATATGTCAGGGACCATTTTTGCATAAACGTTTTTTTGGATTAATTCCTTTTAAATACCCCCATTTCCTGCGATCTTCTTCCCCAACGTCTCTTTTCTTCTACCCTTCTTCTTCTTGAGCTCTGCTACAACAAAAATGGTGCTATGTTTTTGTGGAAAAGTTGCTGTGGTGAAAACGTCTTGGACCCCTTTGAATCCAGGAAGGAGATTTTTTGCATGCCCTATGAATGATTCCGTTTGTGGGTTTATTGGGTGGCTTGATCCCCCAATGTGTGCTAGGTCTAAAGCCATCATACCTGGTCTGCTAAGAAATTTGAATTCAGTGCAGGAACGGTGCAATGAGTTGGTTAGAGGTATGAACATGCTACAGGATCAATGCAATGGACTGATATGCAAGAACAACATTTTGGTGGCAAATGTCAGAGCATTGAAGGATGATAATTTGAAGCTGAAAATGTACATGTTTGGAAGTTGGTTTTTCTTTGTGATTGTATTCTTTTATATTTGGTTTGTGTAGGGGTATACTCTGAAGGGTGTTTTGGTCATTTTGTTGTAATTTTATGTGATCAAGTTTGTAGTGACTTATGATGATAATGATATATGTACAATTTTATGATGCAAGTGTAATGAATGTTTTACCAAAATGGTATGAATGTATAAGAATTAACATATGAATAGAAATGGTATGAATGTGTTACCAAAATGTATATATTAGAATCAATTGTACATAACCAAAATGCACATTTCATTAAGATTTGTAATATAACAACCAAAGTTTCTAAACATAACAACCAAAGATTCTAAACATTACCAAAAGGGACACATTACCATACCTAAGATAACAACCAAGTTTTCATAACAACCAACCAAAAATTTTCAACAAAATATTGTAAACATAACAACCAAGTTTTCATAACCAACCAAAATCACAGAAAACTCCATGCATGCATGACACATTACTTCTTGGATTGATTCCCACCTTGCCCTTTACAGGTCCTAGAGTTGTGTCCCTTGTTCTTGCATTTGCTACAAGTAACACTGATATGCTTCCTTGATAGCTTCTGCACTCCATCATTTGTTGGTTTTTGGGAACCTCCTTCTTGTGCAGCATTCACTCCATCACCTTGACTTGCCTTCTGCTTTTTGCTTAACCTTTCACCCTCACTTTGTCTTCTCTTTTTCTTAGGCCTTCCCACCTGAGTGCGATGTGGAGGAGGGATTAGCTTTGTGGGACATTCACTTTTGGGCCACATGGATCTACCCTTAATTGGCTCCACCTTAAAAGAATAAGCCTTTTCCATGTCTCTAGAAAATACACCTTGTGAACCCATTTGTAAATGTCAAGCTCAGCCTCTGGGTCTTTACTCATCTCATTCAGAGTTGCAATTGCATGTCTGCATGGAATTCCAATTAATTCCCATTTTCTGCAAGTGCATGTTTTGTTCCTAACATCAACCACATGTTGATCCTGCAAAGCTCCTGTGACTTGATACTTGTCTCCCCCATTCCACCTAGCAATGTATTGTGAAGCAACTGTTTTTCTTGCAGCTAGGATGTCTGTTGCTGTGGGTGTTAGTGGACCTTTAGCCTTTTTCATTTCCTTCATGACATTGCATATCCTCTTCATTAGATACTCCCTTATGAATTCTAAACATCCAATGACAGGTTTATCCCTTCCTTTCTCTATCTTCCCATTAAACACTTCACACATGTTTGATATCAACACATCAGAAACTGCTCTTCCTGTGTGTAAATTACAATTAAAAAACATTTAATACAATTCACATACAAGTAAAACAGTTCACTAAGTGAAAGACATAAGGACCAAATTGGAATATATAGATTTACCTGAAAAATGACTCCTTGCCCAATGTTTAGGAGGAATTTGCTTCAACCATTCACATGCCTCCTTATCATACTGACTAAACTCCTTCATCAAATGTTCAAACTCAGGAATGGTGGTAGCTGATGCACACCTCCATAAGTGGTCCCTGTACTCTGTTTGCCTCCATCTTTTCCTCATATTGTCATGAATATGTCTGATACAATATCTATGCTCAGCATTGGGAAAAATTTGCTCAACTGCAGTATGTAAACCCTGCAAAAATTAATTTTCAATCATTAGAATTAACTTACAACCACACTTTAAATGACCAAATGTATAAAAACTACTTCCAACTTTACCTTTTGCCTGTCACTTATGAAAGTAAAATTTGAGTTTCTTCCAAGGTCCAAGTCATCCCCAAGGTTATCTAAAAACCATTTCCAGCTTTCTGTGTTTTCAGACTCAACAATCCCATATGCTAATGGGTAAATTCCATTATTGGAATCAAGACCAACTGCTGAAAGGACTTGCCCAGGGAATGGTCCTTTCATGAAGGCACCATCAAAACCTAATAAGTCCCTAAGGCATGCCTTGAACCCTTTTTTCAGTGGACCCAAGCACACATAAATTCTTCTAAACTGCCTAGTTGGGGAATCAGGGTTAGGCTCAAACATACATCTATTTTCACTGTGGTGTCTGGGTTGGTGGCTTGAAGTTCGAGAACATAGTCCCTCAACAGTTCATACTGCTTTGTGTAGTCACTAGTTATATGCTTTCTTGCCTTATCCTTTGCCCTGAACACCTTGTCCATACTAACACCCACTTGGTAGGTCTTTTGAAAGTGATCTTGTATAGCTCTCAAAGGTATATCTGGATTCGCCTCAACTTGATCAAAGATTTTCTTGCTGATTAAAGAAGCAGTACAAGCCCTGAGTTTCCTTGTTTGCAAACATGTGTGAGTTTGGTTTAAGGTCCTTATAAACCAGTCGGATTCAGGATTTGACCTAGATGCATGAATGTACCAACCACATGTTACTTTTTGTCTTTCATTCTTTACCCTTTCTTTTTGAAGTGGTAGCTTGACTACCCACTTGGCCTTTATTGGTGACAGGTACAACACCTCTACACTGTGCCCTAAGCCTTACATTGTCATTTTTTTTAAAGAAAAGATTCCTTCTTGATTCTAGTGCATGCAGATCAATTGCCTCCTTTAATTCTTTTTTACTATTAAATTTATCTCCAACTGAAAAGATTGTTTATGTACTACCCCAAGACTGCACCTTTTTTCTTTTCTCAAATTCTTGATAAGAGCTCTTCTCTCTCTGTCTTGGTCGGATCCTTCATCCAAAGATTCAAATTCCTCATTGTTAATCACTTCCATATCTTCAGGTTCATGCCCATGAACAACATTTATACAATAACCTTCCACATCACTTTCAACATTGAGAGTGAAGTCTCCGATGTCCACATCCACATCCTGTATATTGTTGTCAACATCCATTATGTCATCCATATGATCTTCATCTTATATTTCTCTCTCATCTTCTTCATACTCTGGATCACTATTTTCAGATTCATCATACTCTTCAAAATTTGGATCACTTTCTTGAGATTCATCATCCTCTTCATACTCTTGATTACCCTCTTCAGATTCTCCATCCCCTTCATACTCTGCATTATCATCATCACTCCCAATCAAATTTTCCATAAGGTTATCAAATAACTCATTCAATTGTTCATCAGCATTATTAACAGGGGGGTGTTGTAGCCTTCTTCATCAAAAGTTGATGCCTCTTGAACAACATTTGCAGCCTCCCTAACACCATCCATCTCATCAATATGAACACAAGTTGCTGCCTCCTGAACATTAGTTGAACCATCCAGATCATCATTCTTTTCCTTTGAAATGTGAACAACCTCATCAATATAATCTAAATTAAGCCTCTTGCTACAAGAACTTTCACCTATTTTGGAATTCCCAACCCTACCCCTTCTATACTCTGGTGAGAAACTATCATTCTTACTCCCAAAAAGAATCAGAGACATGAACTCACCAATAGGCTCACCATTACCATGGTTCACATTTTTCATTGGAGAATCTGCATGAACTTGACCCTCAACTTCAGCCCCTTGATCATCATTTTCTGGTAATTCCTCAATGACAACTTTACCCTTTGCATTTGGTGACATGAAGTAAGTCAATAAATTTGTCTTTCCATGCTCTGTGTACACCTCAATCAGCTTGTTATGTGCAATGTATTTAGAAAGGTTGATCACATCCTGATCATTCCCTAAAGCTCTAAGACCAAATTGAAAGTCACCATTGGGTATCCTAAAATGGTAGTATATAACTGGGGATTCATCAGCGAATTCAAATTCCGTGGGTCTGGGTAACCTAGGTCAAGCATTATGGCATCAAGTTCATGCACAGAAAACTCATCAATGTCCAGATAATCAACATAACGCACTTCACCTCCAATGTACTTTATATCAGGTAATTTAGTAAATTTCCCACCGTGATGAAGCTTAATACTAAACCATGTGGGTGCACCAGCTAAAAATCAAAATTATACATATTAACAAAGTTAAAATTTTGCATTTTTTTGTTCTAAATCAATAAGAAAATGCAAAGTATAAAAGTTAAAGAAAACAGAGCAGCTTACCATATACAGTTGATACATCAACAACTTCGTGTTTTGGTCTGATATGTCACATTACGAACACCATTTCGTATTAAACGTATGCCCTTATATGTGTAGTGTCGATTATCTTGTTTGGATAAGCAACGAGGGTTTTTTGCAGGTTCAATGGAGCAGAAGCAAGAAGGAGGGAGTTGGGGAGTTGACGAGTGTTGGGGAAAGTAAATGAGGGGTAAATGTCAATTAATCCAAAAAAACGTTTATGCAAAAATGGTCTCTGACATATGAAATGACGAAATTACCCTCACGTGTGAGGCACGTGAGGGGGCTTAACAGTTCCAACTTAACGGGAGTTAAGTCAGGGACCAAAACCACATAGAAACCACTCCAAAAGGACTATGGTTCCAAAAAACTCGTGGTTTGGACTAAAACCCCAAAATTTTGCATACCACATGGACCATTTTTGCAATTTTGTCATATATATAAGAAAAAAATGTATTTCAAGTTTATATTTTGGATCTCGAACTGAAATTTGAAGATCAGAAAAAAAAAAAATTAACTTCAGAATTTTCAAAAACAAGTTTCAAAGAATTAATTTTATCATTTAGAAAGTATTAGCAACGTAACTTATTAGTCGTTTGTCTTCATATGTATTGATATTTTTTATCATCAAAGTATTTCAATGTGTTTTATTTTATGTAAAAAAAAGTTATGAATTCTAATGAATAATTGTGGATGTTTGAGATAAAAGTTTATCTTTTTACAAAAACTTAAACAAATATAGTAAATAAAAAAATTTATAAGACATGAGAGCTTGAAATTAAACGGTAATAATAAATACTTCACACCATACATTTTAGGTATAAATAAAGAGACTTCCTGAAGAAAAAAGTTGAAAAAAAAAAAGACGAACTCTGAATTTTGAGTCAAGAATAAAGTAATCGGGAGAAAATAACACTTAAAAAAATAGTAATCTTTAAAAAAAACTCATTAAAAGAGTGATATATAATAGATTTTGATATAAAGCAACGTAACTAACTAATACATTTGTCTTGGGTGTGAAACATTTACGACATGTACAATGGTTATAAAAGTATGTCATCATGGTAATATAATAAAAAGGTTTGTGATAAAAATTAAATCTTGTTTTAAATATGTTTATTCCCCGTGCAACACTATTTCACGAGTATAATCTTTTTGATTTTCCGTAAAACTTCTCACCATGCAATAACAAGTTAATATCGTTACTCCTTAATAACTCTCAAAACAACACATTTTGATATTTTGGTATGACTGAGGGGTTGGATATTCTATCAATGTGAAAGATGTATGGTCTTTGGATCATATACCAATTATGATGACATATGCTCGATGCTTACTATCAAAACTCATTTTGAAATGCTTACTGATAACGTATCTCTTGGCACACACCAAGGAACACCGGATAATACTCTAGATAAGACACCTTTGGTGCGCACCAAGGAACACCGGACCATCGGGTTGTCCGGATCTCTCTTAGTAACAGCTGACAAACGGCTAAGCTCGGCGCCGACGGTCATTCGCTTCGTACTAGCAAGATTGCGTGAGTCACTATTGTCCAACAGACAATCCCCTTGCGACAGAAGACAATTGTCCTAAGCGACAACGGTAATGCTCGGAGCATTAATACATGAGCCGATCCTAAGCTCTCACACAGAGAAGAGCACGATCATCCAATCACTGCATATGTAACGTCCCACCAATATCAAGGTATAAAATTTCATTTTTAATACAATCAAAGCACCAATTATCTTTTACTTAAAAATTTAAAAGTATATCATAATAAAGTAGTTATCAGAGTACAATCCCCAAATCACTAAGTTGCGGAAAACTTGGGTGTATGTGATGCGATCAAGTCAGGCCTTTCCCTTTCGAACCGGAAGTACCTGAGACCACAAACAACAACTATAATCACAAAGTTTAGTAAGTTTCCCAAAATACCACATACCATACATATCAAACATATCATACACATCATACATGCAATGAAGGTGATATGTGCCAACCATACTCATACTATTATGCCACGAGCCGTACCATAGTCTTTCCTTGTCAAGTTAGGGGCCAAACACCCTAGGTCTCACAAACAAGTGCTAGGAGCCACCTCCTGGTCTTCCATACAAGCATCACAAAGACAACTAGCATACACTCTACAACTATCTATCTAATTAACTGCCATGGTCCAAACCATGGTCTCACATTTGGATTTGCCAGGATCCACCTTCAGGTCTTTAATACAGATGCCAAGGGCCACCCCTGGTCTTCCAATAACATAAGCAAATGGGCCAACATTGGTGCCTTCGACCCATAATACAGTGAGGAGACTCACCCCATATAGCTAAAACCCATGGATAAATCTCTAACTGCAAAACCACTAAAAATCTTCGTGCTATCAATGACAAATAACATCAAATTAATAATTCGGTCCCGACTCGTATTAAGAGTCTAAATTAGGGTAAAAGATATTTTTACCCTTCCTCTAACTTATCCAAAGCCAAGGCCCAATCTAATTGTCCAAAAGCCCAAAATCCAAAATAACCATCTGAAGCCCAAAATATGGCCCAAATTTCCAAATTAGGCCCAAAATAATCAGCGTACTGCTTAAAGGGCTTGTACGTGCAACATACATGCTTGTATGCCCCTGCGTACTCACCAATAGCCAATTTTCCCATTTTAGCTCTTAATTGATTATGACCACGACCCAAGCTCATATTTGAATTTCTTAAGGTGGTTAATCACATAAAGTTGCCAACTTTAGGTGCATGCATGGCTTAATAAAGCTCTTAAAGCTCAAAAGAACTTAATAGATGACTTAATGCATGCATGAGACCAAAAGCACCATAAAGCTTTCACCTTTAAGCTAAAGAAACTCATAATATGCCTAGATCTAAAAGGATAAACCCCACAAATGACTTAACTTATCAAACCACCCAAAAAGGTACCAAAAGCATAAAAACCAAGACATGAAGAGATCTAATCAAACAATGATCAAGGTTGGGACTTTATACCTCAAAAGTCACCAAAAGGTGGAGCTAATTCTGGATCTCCAAGCTTCCTTCCAATGAATGAATCTTCAAGCTTCTTCTTTCCCCTCAAGGTGCACAAAATCCCCCACAAGTCCTCACAAGAGCTCAAAAGCACCACCCAATGGCCAAGGAACGAATTAGGGTTTTTAAGATGTTGAAGGTGGCTAAGAAATGATCAAAAAAGGCTAACATATGGCTTATATAGGGTGCAACATCTCAAAACTAGGGTTTCATTAAACCCTCTTACGCCCAACGTAATCCTCGTACGCCCAACGTATGAGGCCTCGATCCCACGATCAATCCCTCTTAGTACGCTAAGTGTACACCAGTGCACGCCCCACATACTGAATTTTGCACCAGTATGCCCTGCGTACCTCCTATGTATGCCCCACGTACTAGGGTTATCCTTAAACCCTATAACCCTCTGAATGTTATAACTTCTTTAGTATAAATCCGATTTCGAAGATCCTTATATCCATGAAAAGGTAATGAGAAGCTCCACGCTTTTATCAACTCATACTTGCCTTAAAATTTTCCAAACAAAAATCCAATTTCCATAAAAGCCCAAGGAAAAAATCTTGGTACTAGTGCTCCCCAATGCAAAAAGCTTGATGAAGCCTTTATCAAGAAGTTCATGTAGTTGGCTAAAGAGCTCTTGCATCTCCAATGGTGCCAATCTATAAGGAGAGTTTGATACAGGGGTTGCTCCTGAAATTAGATCAATCCTAAATTTTACTTGACTTGTAGGTGGTAATCACGATATATCCTCAGAGAATACATCAAGGTAGTCGCACACCCGAGTTACTTCATTGATCTCTTTCGTCTTGTCTCTCTTATCGACAACATGGGCTAGAAAGGTGTAATACTTCTTCTGTAGGTATTTCTTGTCCTTCAGACAAGAAATGATCCTAAGGTTCTTACTAGGCTTGTCTCCGTAGACAATTAAGGATTCTCTGCTTTGAAAGGAAAGACACATTGCTTTCTTGAAGCATAAGATTTCAGCGTGATGAAGGTATAACCAATCCATGCCCATTATGAGGTTGAAGCTTCCAATAACCATTGGCATGATATCGATGAGAAATGTGTGATTACTTAACTCTATAATGAAATTCTCTAGTACTTCATGGGTGCTACATATTTGGCCATTGGCCATTTCTACTATATGGGTTTTAATTTCCTAAACTCAGAGGGTGATATAAATGCTAGGAAGAAGATTGTAAACCCAACATATCATCTTTAACATCACCATCTTATTGAAGGCGTTCGGAATCAACATATGGATACTGCAATCATTCATCCACAGTACTTCGTACCGAAAGTCAGTGATTAGGAGACGAATCCTGGAGTGAATTGTTTATAGATAAACCCCGATTTTACCCACATAAGAGGGCGGAATCATAGAAACAGGAGCTGGAAAATCTACACCTTCCTCTGACAAGAAACCATAAATCTGATGCAAGGCTTCAAAATTGATGGTGGAAGGAACAATTCCGGGAACTGCAACCATGGTTTACTATCAACAACGAGAAAGGATAAAAGATTGAATAAACACCAAGATAAGTTCAAACACGCAAGAAATAAGGATGACAATAGGATGTTATATAAGGTGAAAATCGTAGAGGCAAGAAGTTCAAAACAACGCCATAATGTCATAACTAACATTGTGAAAACTGGTCACGTCACCATAAAGATCGAAGTATCTACAAAACCCTAAGTCAACATGTGTAAAGCAGTTATTCTAGAACATCATAGATAATCTATGACAAACAATACACATATTGTACTAGGGGACTTGATAGCATACCCCTCGGTGCACACCAAGGAACACCAGATAATATTTCAAACAAGAATTTGTGGCAGCTGTCAGGTTGCCTAGATCTCTCTCAGTAATAGTTGGAGAGCGGCCATGCTCCACGCCCATAGAAGTTCACTATCAAGACCATGTGATTCACTACTGTCTAATGGACAACCGCCTTTCAAAAAGGCAACCTCCCCATGGGAAAAAGGTAATGCTTAGATCATTACCACCTGAGCCAATCCCAAGCTCTGACACATATAAGAGTATGATCATCTAATCAATGCATTTGATCCTTTTCGTATCTGACGCATTTGTCTACCATACAAACTAGCTGTAAGACCCAACTATAAATGGTCTCCCCTGTCCACCAGAAAAGCAAAGATCTCTCTCTCTCTCTCTCTCTCTCTCACTATACAATCTCTCTCAAGTCCCTTACTTAACCCTTAGAGCGTTTTTCCTGGGATCATCCCCTGAAGAACAACTAATAGCCTCTTTTCTATTGTGGTCTTGCAGATCTCTACCGCAGGAATCTAATTAAAGTCAACCTGGAGATTTGAGTCACATCACTTACCATAAAAACTCATTGTCAATTTCAACATATTTATAAGACAAAATTACATAAATGGTTTTTGTTGTTTATCAAATGTCACAACTTTAGTCTCTATTATTTTTTGTATGCACATGGTCTTTATTATTTCTAAAACATGCATGGTTGGTCCCAGAACAACATGAAATGACTCTTTTGCCCTTTTCAATTTATTTCATCTTTTTTTTTTCTACTTATTTCAATTATAATAATTAAAAAAGAAAACAAATATTACCACTTACCCATCCTTTTTCTCTCTCTTCTTCCACCGTCTACCACCATTGATCACCTTTATTCCCATAACCAAAGTTCAATTTTGTTCCTTAACATATCAAATAAAATTTACAAAGACATACATAATTTTGGATGTGTTGAAATCTATCAAAAGTTTGACTCCAATAACGCCGAACAAAAGTAAAAACCCCAAAACTAACAACAAGCCATTGAAATTTGATGAACAAAATTACTAAACAGACAATTAAAAGACATCCAAATTCCAAGTTCTTGTAAAAATAGATTAAACATTTTGAAATCAAAAAATATTCTTTATCTCCAATCAGTTTAACTACAATAGCATCCAACAAAAAGAAAACCCCAAAACTGACAACAAACCATTGATATTTGATGAACGAAATCACTAAACAAAACAAACATACCTAAAATCAAGATTCCTAAGGGCATCTCCAACCCTACACTAAAAATGTCACTTTTACACTATAAGTTACACTATAATGCTCCAACCTACATTATACCTAACACTACAGATAGTGTTTGATTTTAGTGTAACACTAAATATAGTGATGAATAAAGAACAATATACCTAAAATATTTTTTTTGGTGTTAAATATAGTGTGATGGCCGGTTGGAGGAATTTAGTATTTACACTATCTTTTACACTATAATTATAGGTATAATGTAAAAAATAGTGTTAAGGGTTGGAGATGGTCAAGGGAAATAGATCAAACTTTTTTATTATAAACTCGGAAGATCGTCTTGATCTATTGGGCAATAATAAAGGAAGAATGGGTGAACTGAATGGTGGCGGAACTGAAATAGATAACCTAGTGGGTCTTTTTCTCTTCAAAATCTCCGAAGAATTAGAAGAATAAGAAATGGGTCCATCTTTGTTGGAAGCTTTGATAAGTCTAATGGTAGGAAAAAATGGTTCAATAAGTCAAAACTTGAACTTCGATCAATAATGGTGTCGGTGGCTGCATAGAAGAAGGAGGGTGGTGTTGGTAGCGGGGAAGAAAGGACGACATTGGTGCCAATGGTTTTCTGAAGTCGAAATTTGAACATAGATTCATAATGTTGTTAGTGACTACGTGGAAGAATAAGGTCAACATCGGTGGAAAGGAAGGAAGGACAATCCTTGAGGTTGTTATCGATTTCTTAGGGCTACTAAAAATGTACAAAATTGCCTGAGAAGTCGACGTTGAGACTAATTTCATTTTCATCCTTGCTGCTCTCCTATATTCTATGTGCTCTAAGGGGAGGGTGTTGCAAACAAAATCATTTTCATAAGAGATTGAACCGCTTGGGGAATCGATTCAGAAGAGATTGAGGGGAAGATACTCAACTTCATTCTTGACTTCTTAGGGTTGAATCTTGATTGAAGGGGCGATCCTTGACTACGTGGTATGTTCTCTGACGACCTTATTTACCCCCGTTCATACTTGTGTGAAGGGGGCTGAGAGTTCTTTTTACTTTTGGATTTCACACGATTGCATCAAAATCAATTCAAAACTAACTAAGGGTAGTTGCTTTTCATGGATGAAGTGGAATAGGGAAGGGAAATATGAAGATGGGAACCCATCGAAAAGGAAGGGTTTCGATTGGGGTGTATTTAGTTTCTTTTTTGTATTCAAAGTAAATTTACATAAAAGAAAAGGGAAAATGAATTAGAAAAGGGTATAATAGTAGTTCGGATCAAAATTGCAACAAAATGAAACCATGAGGATCAAACATGCAAGGTTTAGAAACCATATGGACCTTGTTCGTAAAAAAACCAGAAAGGACTGAAGTTGTGACGTTTGATAACCACAATGACCATTTATGTAATTTTAGCTATTTACAATCTCATTGACAATCGGAGATCTGATTCTTTTTAGTCGATTAATTTGGTCCTTCATGTTAGAAATAAAAGGTCTCAAATACATTCTTCCCTTTCACGAGTAGTCCCTTTTCGGTTCAATAATGTAAATCAGGTTGATTAACTTGTTATTGAAAAACATGTTCTTCATCTTGTTCATCATTTCATACGTTTCAAGGTTCTTATAAAACTTCTAGAGGTCATAGGTCATGCTTGAAAGTATAAGGAATACATCTTCTTCTTGGAGAAAACTAGGACATCATCGTAATTTAACTGTTTTGTGAATTAGGTTAGTGATATAAGTGAGGGACGAACCACATATGAAAACACATCATTAATGATTTTTTCACATAGGATGACACGTTAGCAAAATCTCAAGAAACCAATCATAAGGATTGAATGTATATAGAAACATTAAAAACTAAATACAAACTAAGCACTATATTAACGTACTAAGTGTTTTCCTGACTTAACCTAAAATAATCGGTTATAATAATTGAAATTGAATAATAAACAACAAATTCAATGATTTATTTTGTTAAAAAAAAAAAAAAAAAAAAAAAAGATAAATATACCTGAAAACTATATCATTTCCCCCCTTTCCCCTTCCCTCTTCCCCACCCCTGCGTACACAAAAAAAAAAAATGAAAATGAAAATAAAAATAAAGGTTAAAAAGTCAAGTTAAATCCTATGACCTTTATTCCTTTAATATAAGTTGTACTATCTTTAGTTCGGCTGGTCATCATCGTGTCACATTTAGTCGGTGACATTAATGTTAAAGATTTTAAATTAATAAACATTAGTTTTAAATATCGTTAACCCTGAAAATAATAATTAATAAAGAAAATCATTTACCGGTACTAATATACAACAATAAAATTTAATGATACCAAAACTCGATGTCAATATTCCATATAATTTTTTGAAACCGATAAATATATTAAAACAAGCACCGTCGGGAAGAAACAAAGCAAAGTACATAATCAAGAAAAAGGATTTCGAACAATTACATACAAGCAAAAGGGCACACATACCACTCAACCCATTTGTAATTACAAATCACCCTACGGTATTTTATCCATGTGAAGACATGAGACTTTATGATATCTGCCAGTTTAGTCGGGGTAGTACGAAGGTTTTTGAATACTCGATCACATCTTGCCTTCCATATCCACCATAATGTTCCGTAAACGATACTTTATTAGATTCTTTCTCTTCCTTTGACAGTTTTCCCAGTCTCTAGCATACTCAATTATCTCAAGAACTGTCATGAATTGAGGTGTTGGTATGTTGCACCTATGAAAAATCCAATCCCAAACCAAGGCAACAAATAAGCATCTGATGAGAATGTGACATATAGCTTCGATCTCCGATACTAAGTAGGTACAAGTAGAAGGATAGTGTGTAAACCCCTCTTTGCAAGCTCACTTAATGATATTCAATATAACTATTGATGGAATCTTATGACGCAAATATATACATTATAAACGGGTATTGGGTTGGTGTAAACAGATTCGGGTCATAAATTTGTAGGCATATCTAACCTTTTCATTTTTCGTTGGAAACATTAGTGTCATTTAGGTCCAGATTAGGAGTTATTCAAAAACAAAAAAGAAAAAAACAATCCTTTTATGTATTCGAATTAGGTACCAGTTAACTAAACAATTTAATTAAAATTTGAATTTAAAGATTACAAAGTTGAATATGTTTGTAACATGGAACTCGTATGGTTCAAATTTCTCGAGCAATAGCATCAACTATCAAAGTCCCAATCAACTCAAGTAGTAAAATTTATAAAAGCAAACATATTAGTAGCTTTTTGGCTTAGTAGTATTAGGTGTTGAAATGATGTCATGGTAGAGGGTTCAACTCTCATGTTGGACAAGATATATTGATTTAAGAATATGATTATATATCGGTGTTTAAGTTTGTCGTTCTAAAAACAAAATACACATAAACTAAAGTACAAAAATCTAATTACCAAACAAAAAAAAAAAAAAAATTTACAAATGGATATCATGGACAATCAAGAATGCCAATTCCAATAGAACTTTTCCACTTTCTCAACTCCTCTTAATATCTTTTCTTTTCTTTTAAGAATAGCATCAAGCGTAGAACGGTCATAAGGCTGGGGCATTGTACATGGTGCTACATCACTTGTACCGTTCTTCACCAACGATTCCATCATGAAGTCTATACTAAGCCCTTGGGCACTACAAGCTATGCTCTCAGAACATAGCTCGACTGCCCGAGGTGGAACCTTTGGCTTATACTTCAAAAGCTTTGCATACTCATTCAACAGATGAAACATGTAATCGTAAACATTGTCCATTGTCAAATCTTCTTGTATAAATTTACTTCCCGCTTTCCTTATCAACTCAACCTGAATATATAAAAGTAAAACTCACATGATATTAGATTTGTTAGTGTTTGACATTAGCTAGATTGGTCACAGGTCCCATCTACATATATATATCTTGGAGTCTACATGCATACCTTATGCTCGTTACTGTTTCCCCAAGCAACTGCAAACTTTATCGACATGCATTTGTTGTCATTGCGTATCGGCCAATAATGGCGCATAGGCATTAACCCCCTTGAGAAAAAGTCGTAGTATTGCGGCTTCACATATAGGGTTACAGAATCACAAGCCATAATGTATTTTTCACTAACTGACCAAGCTGACCCCTCGATATAAATCTTGTACCTATATATTTCAATAATAAATAAATAAGATAAGCTTCTATTATTAACGCATATCATATTGTGTGTCATAAACAAGTATTTCTGTACCTATGATTGCATTGCTTAGTGAGGCTTGAATTTTTGAACCCTTGCTTTACTTCTGAAGGCCAGTCCTGTAAAACAAACTAACGATTAAACTTGATTTTGACTATTTATTTGACCATACCACATGACGTCGTCGTATCAACTATCAAGTAATCAATTCTTAAAATTTGGATATTTTAACTTTGACTTTTGATAAGTCAAACAGTATGAATATGATATATCATATACCTGGATGTAGATGCGAGCATTCCATTCGTGTTCAGCGGAAACGTTACATTTAAGAAGTTCCATCCGTTTTCCGGCAACGAAAGGATTACCTTTCCAATACGCAAAACGATCGCGATCTTTCCATGGAGTTCTCTGGTTTGCTGAAACTATGTCTCTCGATAAGCGTTCCCATGGCCTTACATTCGTTTCAGGCCTAAAAAAGGAAGAAAAACCTTTAAGATACATGCATGATACATATTCATATAAGAATTTGTACGCATGAATCAGATTATTACCATCCCCAGAACGACCAATCGGGAAAGACAATGTCGAAAGTGTTGTTATCGCCACAGAATCGAAAGAGAGGTGGTGGGCTGATTGAATTGGGTCCGGGAGTGTAATCGGTAGACCGGATGACCGGCCAGTCAACACAGTCAAACATGAGGTCTAGATCAGGAATTTTGCCCGGGAACCTTCGTAACAACTGTAGGATCCCCCATAGAGTGAAAGTATCTCGACTTTGAAAACCCTTTTCGTAAACCTCAACGTAAGCCCTTCCGTTTATAATCACTAATCTGAAGTTGGCTGTTCTGTTGGCTCTTTCCACCATCTCTAGCGTGATTCCGGTGGATATCCATGGCCGGAGATCTTCGTAAATCCACCGAAAGTAATCAGGGCACGTTTTCGGCGCCGGCGATAGGCGGGGAGGTTGATATGTAGACTTGAATTGTTTTGGGTAGTAATTTGTTGGGCATGTTGTCGTCATGGGGCCATTGAAACAGTTTAGCCCGAATTCTTTTAAATGATTAGGTATCGATTTGGTGATCTAAAGTGTCAAAAAGATTTTGATGTTATTATAACCTGTAACACATGCTATGCATTAATAAGTGTGCGAAATGGAAGAGATTAGACTTACAGTGAGGGTAGAATTCGAATCGTCAAGGAATATGTATAGAATATAAAATACGCAAACGAGTGTGAAGATAGAGAAGAGTGATTGGGAAGTTCTTGCCACCAAATTCTTCCGAGCAAACGCCCTCCACATTGCCTCTCTTCTTCAACTGTTGGTAAATCTGTTAACTTTTCAAGAGAAAAGGTCAAAAATATAGCCGACGAATTGGTGTTCTTGAGGTAGAATTATTAAGATGTTGAAGAGTATCGAATAGAAATGGTCAAATTAATGGTCGTTGAGGTAAAAAGATTTGTTTTTTTCTCTTGATTTCATCAACATCTGTCCCTGTCTTCTAAATTTCCTTCTGGGTATGAGAATCGTAAAAATGTTGGTAAATTTGAAGACGAAAGGTCAAGATGGGGTGAAAAGCTGGAGTTTTTGAGGAAAAACGACGGTTTCTTTTTCCTTTTTTCCTGGGGATGATGATTATAAAGAGCGATTGATTGATCCATATGGGAGTAATTGTTTTGATTTTCAGTTGCAAACTTGCAATAATTAGGGGAAAAAAGAAGATATGAAAAATGAAGAAAAGGGATCCCAAGAGAGGAGGCAGCATGAGGTTCGGTGTATGCAGGGTTGTGCGCCATAACTTCTCCTGGTCGTACTGTGCATCTGTTCTACAGCAATCGCTGGACTGGGAGGTACTCCTATCATTTAGGATCCAAATTCTGTCTTATTTATTTACTTTATTTTTTAAAGCTAAGTAGTTAACCTATCTTGTCAAACATTTTGTAGAACAACCTTTTCAATTTTGTGATATTCGCCTATTTGATAATGGCAAGTATCATCTAAATGAAGGTAAAACAGTAAAATATGATAGATTTTTGTTAGAGGAAATTATAGTTTTGGTCAATAGGGTTACATCAATATACAACTTTGGTCGTAATTTTGTAAATTTGACATCATGAAGGCAAATGGATGGGTTCAGGGTGTTTGGCGAAAAAACTTATTATTGATTAGCTTATTGACTTATAAGCTAATAAATCAGAAAGAGTTATCTTATGAAAAATGATTTATTAGCGGTTTGCTACAGTTATCAATTATTTTTATCAAAACACATTTTTAGCATATAATGATGTGGAATAACTAATAAATTGTTTTGTCAAACACCCCTTAGTCGTATAGCTCGTTATCGTCCATTAAAATTTCGTTAAACGTATGTAAAATGACAATTATATAATTATTTTGGTTTTTCTGATATTAATATAGCTAATAAATTGTTTTGTCAAAAAGGCGAAAGCCAGCGGCTTCTCCTATTGACCTTAGTTTTCTGTCTCTTCTGTTTCTACGTTCCAATACCACTCACTCTGTGCCAACACTGGACGACACTCCCTCTTCTCACTCGCCTACAATCAAGATATATTTCTATCTCTCGTACTCTCATCCACCATAAAAAACGTCGGCGACAGTGGTAAATCCGATGATACATAATCGTTGATAGTCTTTTCTGTCTCCCTCCCTCTATCTCACACACATGCACAAAATCGTGTCGACCTAGTTTTGGTACATTTCAGATTTTGATCAAATTTTAGGGTCTTGGTTTCCAGTTTTTGGATTCTAGCTTAATCTAAGTGTAATACTTTGTTTCTGAATTCCAATAGAATTCAATATAAACCGTCGTTTACAAAATTCAAAGTAGAAATATATTACTTTTTAGCCAAATTAATCATCATAAACATGTAGGATACGTTAATACGATTTCGGTAGATATAAAGAGTGCCCGAATCCGACTTCGTATGAAGAAATTATGTTTCTTTGAAGTTTTGCGATTAAACAGACACGGCTACACGCGTCGTAAAATACGAATCATAAATATAATACTTATTAGCATAAAAAATCTGAACGGAAGTCGTAGTAATCATAAAACTGAGAGCATGCATATAGAGAGCGTCTAAATCTTATTTCGCATGTGCAAGTTATGATTTTTAAATGTTTTAGCGCAACAGTATTTGATACAGAAAACGAAATTTAAATTGATTGATTGTTAGGAAAAACAATCTAAAAGAGAGTCGAATATCTCATAGATATAAAGATAGTCAAGAATGGAATTCGTATGGATAAGTTATAATTTTTAAACGGACTTTAACAATTTAAGCTTGTTAAAAATATAGTTTTAAAAATAAAGTGAGAATTAGACGATAAAGTCTAAATGAAAGTTGTAGATATCGTCGATAGATACATGTGGATATAAAGAACGTCGAAGATAGAGCTCATATGAAGAATATATGTTTTTTTGAAAAACTAAAAATACGTGCATGTGCGTCACACCTCGACAAGAAGAGCGACACGCTTTGACACACCACCAACTTGCCAACATGTGTCACCACCCAGGCAACACCACGTTGCACCCTCCGGTACTACCAACAGCTCGGTGTGCTTGGTAGGTATGTGCGTCACGACTCTCCAAAATTTGCCTATAAATCTTGATTCGAAGCCCCATTCATTCCTACACAATTCCCAAACTCTCTCTCTAGTTCTTAGGCACGAAAAGAGGTTTTGTCTTTGAGATTTGTGAGTATTTTAGTTTAGCGAAGCTCTAGAACGTTAGAGGGCTCGGGAATTAGAAGCTCTTAGGTCAGAGTTCTGTTAGTGCAATCTCCCGGTTTTATCTATAAGTTAAGCTACCCTCATATTTTTTGAAGTGTAACTTATATTTATATTCATAGTCGTTGTTAAGAATAAATAAATAAGATTTTTCAGTAATTCTAGTTATAATATTTATTGATCTACTTACGTGAGAGTGTCTAGAATTGTCATATTGGCTTGATTATTGAATTTTTGAAAGGCTATACGCCGAAATGGTCCTGTCTCCCAACTCTCCAGCCCGACTGATCCTTATTTGATAGAACTCTCGGTATTCATTGGGATTAGTGAACGATCTAGTTTCGTTACCAGATCATCATAGAAATTAATAGGTTAAACTATTATAGGTTAATACTCATTAGGCGTGTTGATCACCAGTGGGATCGCCCAGAAAACTGAGAAACTGTCCGACTGAGTTATCTCACTATACCACATAATACTATATATATATATATATATATATATATATATATATATATATATATATATATATATATATATTCATGTATGTTAGGATATAGAGCTAATAGAGTAGAAAGTATAAATGTGCTTGTCTGATCTAAAGTACAGTCTCTGTATGCGTAATTATTATAACATTATACTTAGGTAGGGGTTAATGGTGGAACAGTAACGAGGTCGGGAGCCTATAGGCCCATGTAGATTTATTTAGGGGATGGTGGTGGAACCGTTAAAGAGGTCGAGAACCTATTCCAAGATACACATCTTATTGACAGATCGTAAGTCATTGCTTGTATGTATGCATATGTATTGTAGTATATGGTGTCTTAGGGAACTCATTAAGCCCAACGTTTACCCAATTGATATTAAATGTTTTCAGGTACTCCATCAAGTAATAAGAAGGGCGAAGCTCGACTTTACACACACATTGGCAATAAGATAAATAGATTTTGAATATAAAACATTGGTATTTGTGACAAATCAAGGGAATGTTGTTTTATAAAAATGAAAAAAATTTGTTATGAAAATCGGGATATCACACTAAGTTTAAGTTGCATGTGGTGATATATGGTGGTGGTGGTGGTGAAAAATGATGGTAATATACAGTGGTTGCAATGTTTGCAAGTTGGTGTACAATGGTTTTTAGCTATGTATGGTATGCAGAGACATTGGGAAAGCTTTCAAGTTTAAGGTTTGTAAACTGATGAAGTAAATAAATCCCCGTGATTTGTTATCCTATACTCGTCGAGTAATAGAATCTAGTGAAAGAGTTGAAAGAAGAAGACCAATGGAGATAGTATTGTACATAAGTTATAAACATAGAATATATTATGAAATATACTTTCAATGTATGAAATGGTGAAAAAATGAAGTAGGGTTAGATTTGAAACATTATTTGCATCATTTTTTACACCATTTTGGTGTAAAAAGATGGAGTTGGGTTGGAGATGGTCTACTTTCTCTATTAGAATTGCTTTGAAAGCAACCATTAAGTGCGTTGGACTGTGGACACGAGGCATTATAGGCTAAGAATTTGATCCGGTTTGAATCTAGTTTTGGGTACGATTTTGGATATGGATTCTCGATAAACGGGTTTACGATATGGGCATCAATATAATTTTTGGGTCTATATTCATGATCCGGTTAGGATCTGATGGATCAGATTATCCGATTTGGTTTGGTTAATATACGGTTTTGATCGGATCCTGATTTTGGATCAAATCGGAACAATACCGGATATTCGACTCTGAGTGCGCCAATATTTTCAATTTTTTGTAACGATACAAGCAAGGTGTAACACCCATACTTTTTATGCTAACAATTATGTAATTTAAAAACATTTTCAGTTGATGGGCCCATTTATAAAATTATGGTCCAAAAATTTTCAATTCATTTACAGATACATTTGTAAAACTTCAATTCAAGTATTACAACTCATACATCTGAAATCTGATATGCATTCATAAAACAAGTATTGAATGCTTTATATATTTCCTCATCCAATGTAATCCTCCAGCACCTTCCTGAGTCTTATGACCAGACTCAACTATCCGCCAAGTTCAACAAGTGTACTCAGCTACCCACCAAGTTAAATAACTATAATCAAATACCTGCCAAGACCTATAACTATACTCAGTTACCCGCCAAATCTAATATTGTTGAATACTGTTAGTAGTTATCCCTTCCAATATAGAGATTGCTAATATTAGAAGTAACCCTCTTGGCAAAACAATGTCTATTGTTGGAATCAACTCTCTCAACCGATATGCTTACCATTGTCATAATGTGATTTATTCTAATGAGATTCCATAAAGGTAAAATGATTGACCACTATTAGAAGTGACCCTTCTAACAGGTGATTGCTAACATATATTGACAACTAACAAAGAATTAATTATCCAGACAAAACCCCAAGGGTTGGGATTTCTATTTCACGACGGGACATACCTTCCTGACGGAACCTCCTTAGTCCCCATATGGTCCCCAAGTAATATTGGTCCCCTGAGTAATTCGACAATTCATGACTAAAATAAACAATTCATATCAAATCATTTCAAACATAACTTTACTAATATGCCATGTATCCTAGAGGGAAAATCCATATGTACTCACCTATCTGGTTAGTGACAACTATATTTAGCTTTGGTCTTTAGGCTTGTGCTGCCTCTCAAACTTTCACATTGTCCAAAACCTATTCATACAAAATACCAAGTTCTACATAACTTGTACCAATTTACTAGGAGCTTAATTATCATATTTACCATAATAATCAATGAAAAATGTTTCTTTGAAAATACTTTTTATGGGACATCCCAAGTTTTTAATGGGACATCACATGTTTCTTATATTAGTTATGACATCCCAAGTTTTTAATAATCAATGAAAAATGTTTCTTCGAAAATACTTTTTATGGGACAAATTTCGTATTTATAATAAATACTATGTTTTAAAATAAGCGTAAAGAAAAGGTCTTTTTGGGCAGAGAAAATGAGGATGTCGCAATTGGTATCAGAGCATTAGTTTTTATGAACTATGAATTATAAGGATTCATATACTTAAACTTAGAATACTAAGTGATGATCGTGAGGTGTGTGCTTATTTTATTTTAGGTAGTATACCTGAATTCACACAAACACTAGCTTACTTTAGGAAAATATGCATATATTGTTGTTATGTGCTAAATGATTTTGTAATATAGTGCGCCTTACGTTACCTACCTAAATTGTTATTAGTTGACTAGATCTAAGCTCTATTGGCGACCTTGATTTGGAAATTTTATGTGTTCATGATTTTAAACGTATAAATTAATGTATTAGAATTGACATATAACTTTTTGGAGTAATAAGGAGGAACATGCATCTAAAAGATAACTAAAATCTTCCCTATCATAATATACTCGCAACCCTGGTACCCTGAACGATTGTTTTGGTATACAGAACATCATGGTGAGAACACGACGTAGACTAGGAAATGGTAACAAAGATCAACATCTGAACCTCGACATGTGATCGAGCGTGCACCAAGAGTTGTGCCAACAGCTGAACCGATCACGATGGCAGGAGTTCAAGCTATATTGCAGGCGATACTAGCTAGGCAAATGGAGGAGACCGGAAAACTAATCCAAGAGAATAAGAGAGAATTACAACACCGATTGTTGAACTAGTTTTGAATGAAGTTCAATCCGAATAGGGAAGCTATAGTATGATTGTCGACAAAGCTAAACAACTAGTGGTTAAGAGGAATCACCCAGAGAGAGGATTCGATATGAGTGAATGCAAGTACAAGGGCTTTACAACTTGAAAACCATCCGAAGATCTAATTGAAGTTATGGATTGAATTTATGAGATGGAGTTAGCCTTCATAGCGTGTGGTTGCAAGGGCACGTTGCAAACTACTTGTGTTGTGCATCGATTTATGGGTGGGGTTGTCTGTTGGTGGAACATGTTAGGAAAGATCATAAGCCATAGTGAGCCATTACAACTGACTTGGGCAGAGTTCTTGGTTCACTTTAAATGCAAGTTTTTGCCACTGAAGAACGGGAACATGTCCATTGATGAGTATACAAATGCCTTCACTGACGAGATGGATTCCGCTTTGCGCCTTGTACCCGACGAGCTAACAAAAGTCGAAAAGTACGCGGAAGGACTACCATGTGTGGCAACCCGTAAAATATGTAACCAACCGTCGTTAGTGTTTAACAATGTCAATCATATCTAATAGGAAAACTATGTGATCGTTCAACATATATAGAAATATATCCGATTTGTGTCCTTAATTACGTCAACAAACAACCTCAGAAATAAGTGCACAAAAACCGTGTCACCGTAACATGATAACATTTTTACAATGTACGCATTTTCGTGATTCTAAAAATATATACTTCGCTAAAATCCGAATTAGTATGGTAGAGATATGAACTTTATGGTAAATAAAAATCTATCGCACACTAAAAGTTGCAACGTCAAAAACTATGAGGAGAACGGTTGACTTTTGGCACAAGTCACCAAAATGAGAAATGTAGTACCATTCAAAGCAAGAATTTTGTGACAAAGAACGCCTAAAACGGAACCCGTATGAGAGAGTTATGATTTTATAAAACCAAAACGGTTATAATATTTAGGCTAAAAATGAAAGTTAGAATTAGCGAAAATGACAAAAAGGAAAGTTGTAGTGTACGTCAAGACCTACATGAATATTAAGAGTCGTTGAAAACGGAGCTCGTATGGGAGAGTTATGCATTTTTAATTTTTAAGGTTTGATTTTTACACTCATGTGCACACGCATGCAGTGCGCAACACACACCTGACGACGTGATTTGTCAGGATACGAATGATGTGACATAAGGAGATGAGGACACATGGAAGCTCCTTGTGTCTTACGTGCACTAGCGTGACGTACAATGTGCAATGTGCACTCCAAAATCGACTATAAATAGTAGGTTCCAACATTTTAATTCCTCACACCTCAAAGCACACCTAACTCTCTCTCTCTCTCTCTCTCTCTCTCTCTCTCTCTCTCTCTCTCTCTCGATTGTCGTGCCACTGATTCTCAAGCACCTCCCGAGTTCAGAACCCACAAATTGTACCCTACATTAGCGGTTTCACATATCAAGAGTAAGTTCACAACCCTACTTTATTGTTTCATATCTTTTATGGAGGGGAATACATGTTACATTACAACTATTTTCATAATTATTACTAACTGTATAACGTTAATGATATAATTATGCTTAGCACATTAGGATAATATTATACCTGGTAGATACCTTGCCCAACTTTTTTGGATAATATTATGCCTAGATGTTACGTTGTCGCGAACACTCAAAAACCATGTATACTCGGTAGTTATGCTAGTAAAATCTTCAGGGAAACATTTTACCTAGTTGTTACGTTGGCAAACTGCCAGGAAACGCTCTTGCCTAGTTGTTACCGTAGCCATCCTTTTGGATAAAGCTTATTACCTGGTGGTTACTCTGCCCAAATACCCAATTACACAAAATACTCTAACTTCATTGTATATACGTAAAATATTATATATATTTATATATAATAAGCATCTCGTATAAACCCAACTAGGAACGACAACACTATACCTAGTTGTTATGTTAGCCAACCTATAGCCACCCTTTGGATAACTTTGTACCTAGTGGCCCAAATACTCGGCTAAACTAAATACTACAACTTATATATATATATATATATATATATATATATATATATATATATATATATATATATATATATATATGTTTTCAATAAATAACTCGTACAAAGACAACATGGAAAAACAACGTGATCAACTAGGGGAGGCTCCCACAAACAAGTGTTAGATGAGACACGATTCATCACCAAGCTAAATAATCGTTAGCCAGCCCTAACCTATAATTGGTAAATCATAAGCGAGCGGAAAGATATGTATAGATTTATACTAGATTGGCACTAGGGATGTTATTTGGGCTGGAACCGGACCGAACAAAACTGAACTCGAATAACCCGAAAACCGAATAAGGGTAATTGCATGAACCGAAAACTGAAATGATTAACCAATATGGGTTCGGTTCGGTTACTACCCGAATAACATGTACAAGATGATTAAAGACCTAATATAACCGAATAAACTGAATAATAGAATAACAATGTACTTTTATACATCAACATAAAACATTCAAAGACTAACACACAATAACAATTGAAAAAATACCGTTTACATAGTAGATTAATATAATGATAATTAATTATTTCTTACTTGAGTTTTTTTAAGTTGGAGCCCAATTTTCCATGATTAGACTAAGTAAGAATTCGTGAATACTTAAAGACAATAGGAAGGGTCGATTTTTGAAAGTTTGAAACAAGAGGGAGGATCGACAAAAGTGATTTTGAATTTGGAAATAAATAAGAAGATTGGTCGATTTTGAAATGATGAGAACGACCATAGTTTTTTTTTTTTTTTTTTTTTTTTTTTTTTTTTTTTTTTTTTTTATAACTACGAGGACAATGGTATGAATCGTGATTTTAATTTCTATCGATCAGAGAAATTGGAGGAGGAATGTTTATTCGGGTCGGGTAGCTCTTATTTGGGTAACCCGAACCGAATAACCCCAGAACCGAATAAGCATAATATAGATACCTGAAACCCAAATCGAATTGCTTATGGCCTAATTCGGTTCGGTTCGGTTAGGGTTTCAGTTCCGTTCGAGTTTTCGGGTCAAATTCTCATCCCTAGCTCAAATGGATCGTGAGGGTAATCTAAAATGATTTTTCTATTATTAGAAACATTACCAATAGTTCATGATCTTCGAAATTTCTTTCAACCCATAAACCCAACATGGCTGTTTCCCCTTACATCTCATATTCACCTAAAGTAGGTAACCTCTCTTAAAATAGCAATCTGTATTAACGTCTACATCAAGACTAGATCTAAACACCGTCTAAAACATGGTTAAATAGTTAAATTTTCGAGTCATTACACAGCGTGTCAAGTATATTTCACATATATTACAACATCATACATCGGAACTGTTTGTGATTATATCTACAACTTTTTATATGGATAGAGACAAGTATCTTGCCTTTTGATTTGTAATAACTCTATAAATAACACACAACCCATCCTCTTCTTGTATCCTCGGTTCCAACAGTAATCGACACAGTACAATTTGATTGTTTCATAGAAAATTTTCAAGGAAATTGTGTTTTAAATAAGAAATGGACATGGTGGTTGTGATGATCAGTGAGTAGTAACTCAGTAATGATGGATGGTGGAAGCATATAACACGAAAAGTAAAAAATTCCGACACAAAAGTGGATTCTCTTTTCGGGTCTGGGCCTCGGGTCGCACACCCACCCCTGCTTTCATTATACACGCTACGCATGCTCTCTCTCTCTCAGACAGACAGACACAATGAAGCACATTAGATGTCTACAAGATTATGAGTATTTATTGAGTGTCTATAGATGCCCACTTTTCCATCTTCTGTTGCATGCTCGTAGCAATGTCTGTAAGTCTATCTACCCCCTCTCTCTCTAGATGTACATGTATGTATAATTATCTGGTTGAAATGATTGGTAATTGCAGATGGTGGAAGTGAGAGTTCCAAACTTGGACTGCCATGGCTGTGCTTCCAAGCTGAAGAGGGCTCTCTTCAAGCTCAAAGGTACACAACACAATCTTTTTTTCGATGGTTATGGAATGAAGCTGGTTCGATTAGCTATAACAGAATGGTGGTGTGGGTGTGGTGTTTTCAGGAGTGGAAGAGATAGAAATAGAAATGGAGATGCAGAAGGTCGTGGTGAAAGGCTACGGCTTGGAAGAAAGAAAGGTGTTGAAAGCCATCAAACGAACAGGGAAAGCAGCCGAACCATGGCCATATCCGGGTTACTCCTCCCATTTCGCTTCTTTTTACAAGTACCCGACCCAAATCGCAAATCAATACTATTACAACAGGAATGAAGCTGCCGGACACAATCTGCACACCTTCTTTCACACCCCTTCGGTTTATTCCGTCGCTGTTGCCTCCGATGAAGCTGTTGCCTCACTTTTTAGTGACGACAATCCTCACGCATGCACCATCATGTGAAAGGGCGCATTTGATTGTATGTTAGTTAATTAATCTAGTTTTGAAGTTGATTATTTTTGTAACTTAAGTTGAGATAAATTAAGTTGATACATTTTGATTGATTGGTTGTTGTACGTCTTTACCAAAAGGGTTTATGTTTATGCTTGGAGTAAATGAAAATGAACGAGCTACTCATACTCCCAGGTCCTATTGAAAGAGAACTTGCATAAGATGGTATAATGGTGTCAGACTCGCTCCCTGTAGAAAAGCTTTATGTTATGTATTTATCGTCTACCGTTTGGTGTAAGTAGTAAAGTAGATCCGTATTGCATTAAACTCTTGACACCTTAGATTGTCATTCTATTATTTGCTTTCTATTAAACTCTTTAAACTTGGGTAATTCTAAACTTGAATTCCAAATGCACCAATTGACCCTTTAATCTATTAGATATCAATTAAACTTTTCGGTTTATCTACTCTCACATCAAACTGTATACTCACGTTAAACTATACATGTGTGGATATCAATGACAGTTATGTTTGGAAAGATAGTCATAGATTAACAAGTAAAAACTATGTCTATATTTAAAGGATATTCACAAAAAAACACTATTCTTATTTACGTTTAATAATTTAGGCACCTCTTTTGGGAAACTATGAAATGACTACAATGTTTGCAATCCGATCAATTACGAGTTACAAATTGCAAACTCGTAACTCGTAATTTAACCATCTTATTTGTGGTCCACATTTTTGTTAAATGTAAACATGGTCGGAAATGAAATATAATTTTGCAAGTCCTATATAAAGCGTTTTATTTGTGTATTACAAAATTATAATAAATTATATATCATGTAATCTTTTTTTTTATCACTGTGGATTTTATAATAACAAATTATTATGCCTTGTGCTTTTCCCTCAAGGGTTCCCACCAAATTATAATGGGTTCATGGTTGTTCTTTATGGATTTTGTTTATAATATTTTTATAATTATAATGTGTTCATGGTTGTTCTTTATGGATTTTGTTTATAATATTTTTATAGTATGAGAGTATAATTCGAAAACTACGATTGACCTTTACACAAACCACAATAGAGTTCTTTCTTATTTTATTTCCTTATTTTTATTAGTTTATTTTAGATTTTTAGATCTTTTTATCATTAATGCATTGTATTTTATTTATTTTTCTTTAGTATGAATCGTACCGAGTGCTTGTTATGTTGCATAAGATATTTTGTAGGTTTTTCGGTGCTTGTTGCGGTTGCGGGTTGATTGGAGACGGACTTAGTGGGCTCCCGAAGCATTATTGGGCTTGGCGGAATCAAAGAGGAAGAATTGGGCTTTGAAAGTTATTGACTTGGATTATTTGGGCTTGTGAAGATGGATCATAAAATTCAAATTTTGGGCTTGGAGCATCCATTTGGTGGCTAAATGATGATTGGTGCATTTCAAATTACATGGACAAGGAGGGGGGACCAAAGGAATCTTTGGTAGTGGAAGGGTGGAGTGGCTTGGTGGACCAATAGCATTACAGCAACATTTGCGCGGGTGGAATTTCCGTCGCGCGGGTACCCGCGCAACTGCCCAGTTTGGGCATTTTGGTCATTTGGCTTGCCATAACCCTTGGGGATCAGATCTGGAGGCTCATTCACGTTTTTCCACCATTGGAGACCTGCAAGAGGTGATTTTGGGAGCTAGAAATCATTTCCTTTCATCTTTCCAAATCTTAGGTAGTTTCTTTATGCAATTAGATTATTGTTCTTGTTACTTTGTTGCCATGAGTGGCTAATACTCTTATTTGGTTGACTTTGGCTGAAAACCAATGAATGTTTGTGGGTTTTGAAGGATTTATGTTGATTATCAATTTATTCCATGTTTATGATTCTAGTTTGCAATTCTTATGCTTATTTGATACTTTGATCATGAGCTTAGTATTTGATTGAGCAATAGTTGATTTATTTCATTGATTTTGCATTGGATCATTGAATTTATCTAGAACAAAGGCTTTATGATGGTAGAAATCATCTCTAGCTTATGAATCATATCTCCTTTATGGATGTGTAAGCATTTGACATCCTCTAGGAATTGGGGATTCCTTCATTCTTAAGGCTAATTGATTTCTTGGGATTAATTGCTTCAATTGACCCTTGATCTTAATTAAGAAGGTGTGTTGTGGGCTTCCCCAACCTCCATACTACCTATGAGGAATCTTGGCATATCATGCTTCATGATTGCTATAACCAATTTGGGATGAAGGATAAGCTTTGTATTAGATCCTAATGATAAACACACAAATGTTCATTGTGTTGAATTGCCTTAGTTAACCAATTATTCCCAACCTTTGAGCATCTCATCAACTTGCTTAATTGCAAGGTTTTTAGTTATTCAAGTATTTTAGTTATCAAGTAATCAAACACCCCCCCCCCTTTATTTTAATTGTAGTTAGTTAGTTTAATTTCACTAGTTCTATTGAATTGCATTGGTGATTGAATACAACCATTTCCCCGAGGATCGATACCCCTTTTTACCATTATATTACGTTTATTTAGCAATCAAAGTGTAACACTCAATTTTTCAAACAAAATTTTTGATTTTATAAAAACATAGTTCCATCCATATTCATAAAAAAACAACCCCTTTTAAATTGTTCAACAATACATTGCAAAATCCCAAGATCAAAATGTCAAGCTCCAAACGTGTGTGTACGGATCAAGCCGGCGCCTTCCCACGGTCGTCACTAGTACCTGAAACAATAACATCAACACTGTAAGCACAAGGCTTAGTGAGTTTCCCAAAATACTACATGTAACACATATTAGCCACTCGAGGCTATAACTCTGTGGGTCCGTGCACCCAACTCTGTGAACCCTCAGGTTCTAACTCTGTGAACCTTCCGGTTCTAGCTCTGTAAACATGCACAGCATCAAACACATAAAAGTAATGCAGTACAACACATAACATACATCGCATACAAATATTCTATCACATAACTCTGGTTACCTACTCAAGGTAAAGTATAGTGAGAAGACTCACCTCGTGTGTCTCGGTAAACCGTAACCCTGAAATTGCTAAACACTCGATCTGCCGAGCTGAAGTCCCCCCTATAGCACAATATATCTCTAATTAACACTTTCCCAACTAGGGTTAACCATATCATAACAGGACAATCTAGGTCAACGCTGGTCAACGGTCAACTTGACCGGACTCGGCGAGTGCACTATAGCGACTCGGCGAGTCTGAGCGAAATCACCAATTTCCCTGAAACTCTTTCTTGACACGTCGAGCATCCCTTCCCAACTCGACGAGCTCCACCTGGCACGAGTTGTGGGGCCACCACGACTCAACTCGCCGAGTCTCCAGAACGACTCGGCGAGTCCGGTTTGACTCGGTCCACCTGTCCCTCCTGACTCCCCCTTGACCCACTGGGTTCACTCATCCCAACTCGGCGAGGCCACTCGCTGAGTGGTCGTGTAACATTCAAGCTACTCGCCGAGTCTGTTCTTCGGACTCGGCGAGTCCATGCCATGCACTAACTCAATCTTGCTCTAAAGGCCAGATCCAGTCCACTAATCCATAGATCCAGTCCCCCCATGCTTACTTAGCACGTAAAGTCCCAGTCTTGATGCATGAATAACCTCTACATGATCACAAATGATGATTTTGACTCTATTACTTCAACACAAGGCCAAGGACTCCATTTTTTACCCATAAAGCTTGATGAGTGAGGCCCCCTGGACCTCTATGGATCCAGATCCATGGTCTCAACTCAAAGAGGGAACAAAAAGGGCACCAAATCACCCCATAAATGATCATATTTAACCCTATCTTGCATCAAGTTCACCAAACAGGAAATGGTCCGAAATATTACCTCTAAAGTGATGATCCAAGCTCCAAATCCACGAAATGGCAACCTCCTTTGCCTCCTTTTGCCTAGAGCCTCCTTCTTCTTGCTAAACAACACTCACAAGGTCAAGATTCGCTCTCAATCCTTCACCAAACGCTCAAGAACTCTAGGGACACACTCTGGGGGTTGAATGAGCGCAAATGACGGCCATAAGGCCCCTTAAATAGGCCACAAACCCGGGGATTTAGGGTTTCTTAACACAGCGCAGACTCGCCGAGTCCATGCCCTGGACTCGCCGAGTCCAAGCGCGCACCTTCGCTCAAACCCGCGTCCCTACTCGGCGAGTCTGAGCCCTGACTCGCCGAGTCCCTCTTACAAAACAACACAATTAAACTTACATTATACCTGGTAAAAATCCGGATGTTACACAAAGGGTGTAATTTGCTTGGTAGGCTTGACATCCCGACCACTTGATCTATTTTCTACTGAAACCCTAATCGACTTTTACAAATCCTACAAAAGGTCTTCCTGACTGAATTTTACTATACTCTCTTCTTATACAGTATGAGAGTATAATCTTCCTTATAATCGATTTGGACTATGTAAGTCCTATAACTAATTTCTACATACAAACATGTTCCTGTAATCAATTTTCTCCTAAACTTTTTTCAATGTAATAATTGATATCTCATGGATTCCATAAAGTATGATATTATACTTTTAGATCGCTACTCCATGTTTTTCCCTATAGCAAGAAAAGATAAGAGTTTTATTGGCTTACAAAGATTATGATGATGCACTATATTCATTTGGAAGCTACAGACTTGTTCACTATTCTAGAGAGTTGGAGAATTGGAATCATCCACAATCTATGAAATTTTATTGTAGAATGAACTCTTTTGGAGTTTGGGGTCATGTCTTATTTTCTTGTTAAATGTTAATTGTATTTTTTAGGGGAATGATACATTATATTAAAAATGCTAGCAAGGTGCTAGGCTACCAAGTAATTACATAGAAGAAATGACATTAACCGGTTGTTGAAGACAACATTACCGATCCAATTAATTTTGTCTTTTTTTTTTGCTCCTATTTTATAACCAAAAGAAATATTGGGGATTTGGCCCATTTGACACCATAAAACCATTTTTAAAGACCATTCGACTAGTTCAAACAGTTGATACCAAAAGGTAATTTGGCCCATTTGACAGCATAAGACAAATTTTAAGCCGCACAACATTTAGGTTGAAGTTTTACTTCTTTAATATCCCTCTATATTTTCACTTTTCAGATAGACTCTTATTTGAACAAAGTATCAATTTGTTTCGTAATTTTATTCGGAAACATGTTTTATTCTATGGAATGAAAACAATTTTTGACACGAATTGTTTGACATTTTTTATAATTCTTTTGATGCAATAGAGGTGTTTATTATCGATGACATTCGTTCGAGACTCTCAAGCCCTATCCCCAAATGTTGCTAAGGCTAAATCCATTTAAAGCTAAGATATCATCACTAAAAGAAACTGCGTTAACCGACTTTTGTTCCATAGATTTGCTTCTTTCATTGTCTCCACGGTTGGTTTTGTTTGTTTTATTTTCTTTTCCAAGTCTATATATTAGGGTTTAGAGCTTGTTCCTCTATAGGTTGTTAGGAATTTTGAAGCATTTGTCAAAAGTATTTTTTTTTTCTTTCCACAAATGAACATCCTCAACTTAATTATTAATTCTATTAATAAAATTTTAAAGGAGATTGTCACCCTCTTTATTATATATATATATATATATATATATATATATATATATATATATATATATATATATATATATATATATATATATATATAATATATATATATATATATATATATATATATATACACTACACCATAAACATCTTCATTTCATGAACATATTTATAACATCCTCATTATATTCTTAAGAATAAATCACATTTGTTTTTTATAGTTAAATTTAAATGAGAATTTTATATATATCTTTCTTATACTTAAAAATATCATATTTATCTAACTTAATTTCTTAATATTATATTACTTTTTATAAAACTTCAAGTATCATATTTATCCAAATCTTTTTTACAATATTTTTAATAGTTCATAATGTTTTTTTATATCTTAAAAAATTATAATAATTAAAAATTTAACCATATTTATCACTATATTTATAATAATAAAATATTTACTTCTAAATTGTTATAATATTCACTTAACAAGCAAAACATTTCATCTTCAACCTCTCCATAAAATATATATTGGCTTAGTTTTTTATTATTATTGAATAGTTTTCATGTTACAGATAAAAGTTATTTTAAATATTACTATTAATATTTTGATTCTTAAAAATATATATGACATTTTTATTCTGATATTTAAAAACATATACTATATAAGAATATATTTTGATATATAAAAAGATCATAAAATGTATACTTGCTTAGTTTTTATTATTATTGAATATTTTTCATGTATAGATAGAAATTATTTTAAATATTACTATTAATATTTTGATTCTTAAAAATATATATGATATTTTTATTCTGATATTTAAAAACATATACTATATATGAATATATTTTGATATATAAAAAGATAATATATGATATTTTAATATTTAAAAATATGAATATATTTTGATATATAAAAAGATAATATATGATATTTATATATGATATTTTAAAATTTTATAAAAAAATAAATTTAATATTTAAAAATTAAGTTAAATAAATATAATATCTTAATGTTTAATAAAAATATATTAAATTAGAAGTTAAGTTGAAAAATATATCAAATTCTCTTTAAGTAGGGGAACTACGTATATAGGAATGAGTGTGATGCGGTTATTAGTCAAAACCTCACCACTAACCGCAAATACGGTTAATCCATTTTCAAAACCGCTTTGTGGGGTTATTTTTGCGGTTAGGCGGTTTATTTTGCAATGCGGTTTTGTTTTTACTGTGTTGCGGTTATTAACCGCATGGATTTTATGCGCTTATTTTATGTGGTTTTTAACCACAATTTAGAGTTCAAACGGTTTTATGAGTTCAAAGATATTCCTACTAATAATGATAAAAAACCATAATATATAAGACAATTAACTTAAATTACAAACAATTAATATCTTAAAAACATCAATAATAATTTAACAATAAATTTCTTAAAATTGTTTAATTTTATCATTTTTTAAAATTAAAAATAACAAAAAACCATACTTATAGTATTTTATTGATCTTTCATTCTTATCTCATTTTTAATATTTAATATATTAATAATTAATAAAAAAAATTATATATAATATATACGGTGCGGTTTTTTTACGACTTTTGAAAACTAATAACCACACCGCACCGCAAATTTACGGTTTTTGAAAACAGAAAATCTCACCGATTTTTATTGCGGTTACGTTTATCGGTTGGGAATTTTACGGTTAATTTTAATTACGGTGCGGTTACCGCTACCTGTATATACCCGTATAGGTCCTCATAACTACAAATCAGCCACTCTTCTTACACATAAGACATCTATACGGCATATATTATGCATATTATTAAACACACATACAAATACAGAAAAGTCTTGCGATTATGCATAGACACACCATTGACCATTAATACCAACACTAGCCTCGTATAATCAACCAACACTTTCTTTTTTCTAAGGTTGCATATATACCGAAACCCAAAAACATCAACACGCCCCACTTCATTACCCCATCTTAAAAACCCATTACACACGAAATTAAACGCAGAAACTATATATATCCATTTCAGTTGCTTGAATCTTGAAGTCTTCTTTCCCCTTCATCTCTCACTGAAACACACAACACAATTAAAGAAACACTATATCATCAACTCATACCAAAGAAACTATCATCATTTGCAGCGACAAAAATATAAAAATGAACCATATTAATTTACCATCAGAAGAGGTCTCTTGGGGTGCATTCCCTTGTCCCCGGTGGAAAGCATTTGTTATCACCTCCGACAAGACTTTATCTTCATCCCCAGGCCTAAATGTATCAACCAAGTATTCCCTTACCGTGACTTTCTTGCTCTCCGGTGAACTCGTCGCCGGAATTCCGCTGTCGTCATCTTCTCCAGACCCTTGAATTTTGGACATTACCGTGCTTTTGACGCTCACCACTTTGTCATAAACCGGAACCAACGTCCCCGTCATTGTATCTGCAACTTTATGAGCGAAATCCGTTGAGAATGATGAATTCTTGTTCGTTTTATTTGATCCAGTGGTACTCGTCTCGCTTTTGTCTTCACCGGAGAAACCCAGTTTAGAAACGATCGTTTCTTTTGCTGCAGCCGCCTTATCGGCGATAGCCGCAGTGGCTGAAGTTACTTTTTGAGCGTAGCTGCTTCTCGGGTTAGACGCGTCTGCGGCGATGGTGTCCAGTGGTGGATTTTCAACCGTTTCCGGAGCAAATTGATCATGGGATCCTGTGTAAACTTCCGGTTCATCTTGATCGGATTTTGAGGATTTGGAGTAGGGTTCGTCGTAGACACCCATTTTGTTAAACGATTTCAAGACATCTGTGATCCCTACTGCTTCCCTTCCACCTGTCGGATCGCCATAAAAAAAATTAATCTTGGGCAATTTTACTGAACAGTATGTACCTTGTGCGTTGTGGATAGGATACCTACCGGTATTCGTCGTATCAGTCACTTCGGTCTGGTAGTTCGCCGGGGGAACTGCGGTTGTTAGGTTAAGGGAACTTGGATCTTCCTCCATGCCGGTTGATTCTCCAATACCACCCGTTAATTGCTCAATTTGCTCTGTATTCACATCTGGACCATAGACATGATCATGGCCAACCTGAGAGAAATCAGTCAGATGAGTTCCATACATTCCGGTGGAAAGTGGCGGTGGTGCACCATGTCTCTCCTCCTCCTCCCACTGCGCAAACGACCTCACCGGAGGGTCTACAATATCGGAATGAGTAGCATACAGATCCTCTGCTAACACCGGTGTTCCCATAACAGTGGGTTCCATCAACCCACTTCTAACCGGCGGCGAATCATTTACTACTCATCATACGTGAAACCAGTTAGTTCGATGGGTTTTCGACTTTTAAAGAATATCAATTCAAATAGAAAGAACCTCACCGGATTTTGCTTCATCGTGGTGGCCTTCCCCCTCATGATGGCCATGGCCATGCTTGATTGTATCCTTCAACCTATCCATCTTTTCCTTCACCTTCTTCATCGCAGATTTCGTCTCTCCGTCATGTTCGTGTTCATCATGAACATGAACATCAGTACCTTTAATCGTGCACTTCAAACATATTAATTAAAAAGAAAAAACATTCATCGTTCGTATTTCTATGAAGTATTTACGAAGGTGGATATAGATATTGTTACCGGCGGGATGGAGGGGGTCGCCGTAGTGACGGCCATAGTCAGTGCGGTGCAACTGTGATTCCATGATGGCCGAAAATGTAGATTGTAGAGGCTGGAGGGGGTGTTTTGTATAATATTTTTGTGACGAGAGTAGAGGGAAAAGTGAGGGGTTTTTATTTAAGAAGAAAAAAGAAACGATAAGGATTAAGGATACGTTGTTAAGCCAACTCGGCTAAGCGCGAGATGAGTAATGAGCCGACACGTATCACATCTTGGACACGTGGCGTGATTTTTTCGTTGATGCGGCTTCATCACCGTATATGCGTAAATATGCGTAATGCCTTCAGCTAAAATTGATTTTTTAATTTAACATGTATATTTAAATACAATATATGTAGTACATGAATTATTTCTGTTTTTTTTTTTTTTTCATTCTTAGTCAATTAAGTGATGATTAGCTTCGACTTAATCCGGAAAAAAAAAATAATAATAAAAATAAATACGTTTTTCTTAAGTATTTTATCTTTAATCAGTTGGGTTCTGTATCAAATCTTAGTATTGACTGATATTTTTGAATAGATTTTTCGTACTACTATTGGGCATTGGTTTTGAATAATATGATTTGGTTGAGATGAAATGGGTTTGATACATTGTTGCTTGCTTTTTTCGATGATGTGGTGGTGGTAGGCTGGTGGCGATAAAGGGGTGTTCAATGAAGAGGGAATCATGTAAATCGGGTTATTTGATTATGTAAAATATTAAAACCATTTAGGTTACAAACTAAACAAATGAAGGTATGATTTAGTTTTACATTTATGGGTTGCATTTGGTGAAAATGAAATGGGTTCCTATAAAGTGATTTCATGAGGTACTTCAGTTCACCTTCTCTTATGCTTTATATTTGCCTTTTCAAACCTACCGAACTTGCCAAATCAATCGAACAGTGGGATAGGGGTTTGTAAAATATAACGTGAAGTCTCGTATTAACTCTATAACTCTATGGAAGAACATACGTGGAGAGAATAAAAACTACAATATATGTAATGGATCATATCAAACTGATGTCGGATATACTAATATTTCTCCTTATAGTTGGAGGCTTGATGATGATAGACATGGATCTTTTGAGCCACGAGGGGATGTGATGTCGGTTTTGCTACCATATAAGATATATATATATATATATATATATATATATATATATATATATATATATATATATATAAAATCATGTTTTAAATTTATAAATTATAATGTATCACAGCTAACTAACACACATTACAAGCAATGGAGTTAATCATCTTGCAATATGGTATTGATAAGACCAAGTGTTGAACACATGGAGAATGGAAATTCAATTTAGATATATTCAAATGCTAATTAAACTATAAACAAGAAAAGTAAGAGAGGGGGGGGGGGGGGGGGGGGGGGAGGGGCTTCAAATATGGTGAATTCAAATTAAGTGCAATGAATATTAGTTAACATTTACCGATTTCTAATTTCTAATGTATTAGTTATCTAGGTCGATTAACTAAATTGTATAATTATAAAGATGATTAACACAAGGATCATGCAATTAATTATCCTTGACATTATAATTAAGTTCGTATTATGAGAGATTTGATCTAGGAATTAATTTCAATGGTCATGAAAGTCAATTATTAGTGTAAGTTGTTCACAAACGCTTTCTTACACATTAAAGTTTACAATTTTATCATCTAACATTAGGTTTTGATCAAAATACTTGTCATAATTATTTAATGATCATAATATAATCATGGTTCAAACTAATAAAACCTAGATTAATCGTTTAAATTCTACTAACTCATTAATTAGTAATAAAAATCAAAATTTTAACACAAAGACTTTGATCAAACAAACATAATATATTAAGCAAAACCAATATTCGAACAATCGAATCACACCAAATTGTTAGGTTACTTATAATCTAATGAAAACATTAGATTTTTCCCACAAATGTTTTTTAGAAACAATTGGCCATAAAATTAAAGAGAAAAAGAAAATGAACTAGCAAGAAGCAAGAAGGAGATTAGAAAGGGTTCAAAAGGTTTTTAAACCAATTAAGCATATTTATATTACATTTTGTATTTTTATTGGCATACCAAATAAAAGAGAATTGACGGATACAATCAACAATGTTGCTTTGTTTGAGAGTGCCACCCAAAAAAAACTATCATTCTTGAATCTCCAAATATATATATATACCAAGTGCCACCCAAAAAAAGTATCATTCTTGAATCTCCAAATATACCAGATGCCTGTGCAAAAAACTGCCACCAAACTTTTTTTCTTCGTAGAGATAGACATTTGATCAATACCCAAAAACAATTCGGTGATCGTACCAACTAGAAAGGGAGAAATATCCAACCATTTAAACATTGCATTCCATGTTCTGGCAACTACTTCACATGTAAGAAATAAATTATCTAGCGGTGTTTGGGATTGCTTTTCAAAACAACTTATTGCCTTTTTGAAAAGCTAATAAGTCAAAAAAAAAAGTGTTTGGCAAACTCAAAAGCTCTTTTCAGAATATCTTTTCCATTAGCTTCAAAAAACACTTTTTAAAAAGCATATAAAACTTCGCTTTGCGAAACTCTTTTGGCTTTTTAACCAAAATATCTTCAAAAAACACTTTTTAAGTCAAACACATTTTAACTTATTGACTTATTGGCTTTTCACCATAAAAGTTAATCCAAACACTTTTTAAAAAACTCATTTTACCACTACTATAAGCCAATAAGCACTTTTATCTAGAAGTACTTTTTGAGTTCAAAAAGCACTCCTATACACCCCCTAGTTGTTCGACCTCCAAGTCACATGAAGGGCACACGATCGATGTAACTTTTACCTCCAATCTCGAAGGATTAAAAGAATTCGAGACTCTATCTCTCAATACGCGCCAAATCAGAATATTAACCTTCCTAAGGACAAAAACATTCCATCTAGTTTCCATACCTGAATTAAGAAGGATAATCTTGTCATTCCATCGTCTTGTGGCACTCACTGTGAAGCTACCATCCTCTTCGATCCCTCATATCTGTCTATCCCTTTGATCATTAAGATGAACCTCCGATAAGAATTAATCAATTCCAAATATTAGGTCATTTCAATACCATTTCTAATGGGACGCCTCCGGTTCCAAATCTATGCACCATCACATCTGCGATTGGCAATGGTACAACCTCTATCAACTTCCAGCTAAAATAATCTAGGAAAATGATTAGGTAGATTACTTTCACCCCCAATTTTGCTTCTAAAATAAAGTTTTCATGTCATTCCCAACACTCCTATGAAGAATCGAGTTTAACACAACTCCTTTTTCATTTAACTGAGAAATAGAAGCAACAATTCTAGCCCACTGACTACCCCCAAAACGATTATATCTAGTTTGATCAAAACCTCCATTCTCACCATATACTTTCTTGATCACTTGAACCCAAATCACATTCGCTTCTATATGAAAACGTCAACGCCATTTCTCAAGAACAGAAAATTAAGCGAGATCAAGCTACCAATATCCAGCCACCATGAATCTTATCAGCTAACACTTGATCCCAATTGATCCAATGTAATTTTCGATTGTCCTTGGTGCCACCCCAAAAAAGTTGACTTCTAATCGCTTCCAATTCCTTCATAACTTTCATTGGCAATAAACAACAAGGACATTAAACAAGTACCAAGAGAACCCAACATTGATTCCAAGAGTAACTACCTACCCCCAATGGAAAGGGTAGACACTTTCCACTTAAAGAGTTTTTTCTAGAACTTCTCATTTAACAATTTCCACCCAATAACTCTAGACATGTTTTGCCCTACAGGAAGCCTCAAAATACGTGAAAGGAACTTTATCAACTTTACATCCAACCATAAAATCAAAATGTTTAACTTCTTCAAAAGGAACAGAGACCCCATCAATATTTGATTTATGCATAATAATATTCAACCCTAAGCTTAGATAAAAGAAATGTAAAATTCTAACAATATTGTATATGTTACTTTTGGCCCAATCACCAAGAAAGATAACATCATCAGCATAGAAAATATGTGATATGCAAAAATTATCACCTCCAACCTGCACACTAGAAAAAATACCAACCTCTTTAGTATCTTCCATGGCTATATGAAGGCCTTCCATTACAATAATGAAAAGAAAAGGAGATAACAAATCTCTTTGTCAAAGACCTCTATACAGTTGAAACTCATCAGTAGGGATTCTATTAACAAGAATAGAAGATTTAGTTGAAATTAAATACGCACTTATCCACACACACCATTTATGTCCAAAGTTCATAAAATGCATCATAGTATCAAGGCAGGACCAACTCACCGATTCATATGTTGTTTCAAAATCAATTTTAAGGAGCATCATTTTTCTCTTTTTCTTCTTTGTAACGTCCCATTTTCGCAAGCAAAATTTTAATTTTTAAATAAGGTAAAATCATCATTTACATAAAATTCAAGTTATAAAACCCGTTTGTTCCAAAATACACTTATTTGAAGATCAAAGAAAGATAAATATTATTAAGTCTCTAATGATGCTGATGTATGTGTACAGTCACGCCCTTCGCCTTCCTACGATCACCAATGGTACATGAAAAACATTTAATTCACAATTATAAGCCACATCTTAGTGAGTTCCCTCAAAATATCACATACATCATAACATAATAAACAATTAAGGGTTATCAGCAACCCTAGGGACTATCAGCAGCCCCAATGGGCTAACAGCATGCCCTGTGGGTTATCAATAAATCTGGGGACCATCAGCAATCCCAATAGGCTAACAATATGTCATGTGGGTTATCAGCAACCCTGAGGACTATCAACAGTCCCAATAGGCTAACAGCACGCCCTGTTGGTTATCAGTAACCCTTAGGATTATCACCAGTCCCAATGAGCTAACAACACACCCTGGAGCTATTAGCAACTCGATAACACATAACAACAATCAGTAAATAAGAACATAAACACATGCAACAATGCACTAGTCTACTGGAATAACAGCTCCCTACCACATGTCGGGTCTCACACCATACTCTACATCACCATCGGCACACCACTATTGAATGCATAGTTATATGTAATCAGAGGTGAGATAGACATTCGAACAGGTGATCCCAA